GTACATCGATGCCCACTGTGTCCGTTCAGGCGGTTCCAAGCACCATCCAGGTTGCAGGAGCACATTCGCAGATATCACACGGAAGCACGCCAGTTTATCTGCAGTGGCACGAAGCAACTGAAGGTTTGTTGTGCCTTGTTCGATCACGACCAGATCCAGGGATGTGCTCGTGGGAACTATTTGGCCAGAAGCTCGGAGCTACTGAGAAGTATGGTCGCTCCAGCGTTGCCTCACACGGTCAATGAGATTGATCGTGAAATCCGCTTGGTGCTGACCGGTCGAGGACCTGAGTACTGGGCACAATCGTCTCTGCAAAGTTCCAATGTGAGGCGAGTCAGGAACCTTTACTACACCCATGAGTTTGCGGACCTTGTTTACCAGGAGCTTCTGCTATGCCATGCGAAGTGCAAGACTGTAGCTGGCCAAGTTTAGCAACGACAGAACACATGTTCTTGTGTTGTAGTAAAGATGTTCTGTGATCAGTGGCTGTTGTCTTTTGCGCCCCGCAAGGCGAAACCCAGGATCCTCGTTTCCATCATGGCGCGAGGGTCACAGTTGGCCTCTTTGTTGCCTACGGATGTCCGGCACTGGTGGCCAATCATCGAAGACGTCTTTACATCGCCAGCAGTCGCTTCTCTGACTGTCAAGCTGCTGACCACCTTCCGCGACCTGAGGGAGTTTCAAGTTATCTCTATCGATGCAACCATAAAATGTTGCATGGGAGTTCTTGGGCAAGAATCCTACCGCGCACCTAAAGCAAAAAGAGATCAGGCCCCGTTCGACGACGACCATGCGTTCAGGCGGGTTCTTACGGTCAGAGGGCGTACAAGTGCCGTGCTTGGCATGTGTGCGATGGCATCAGAAAAGGCTGAAGATGTCTGTATGGCCCTGTCGGAAATGCTTCCGGCGGATGGGCTTGGTCAAGTGCAGTTCCTGTCATCGGATTGTGCCTCAACCAAGCTCTATGCCGAGTTGAAGTGCATTATGCCCAACCTACAGTGTCTGGCGCTTGATCCTATCCACCTCTGCATCGTTTACGAGCAGCTAGCCTCGACTTTGTAGGAGATGTCACAGTCAAGCTTGCAAGCTTGGGTAGACCATCACATGTGCTCAGGTATGCGACATGGCGGAAAAAAACGCCAGGCGCTGTGTTCCTCCGCAAAATCATGCACAAGTTCAACATGGTGGATGCAAGTCTTCCTTCTCAGCACTGGGGTCATTTCCACAGAGGCTACGATAGCCGTCAACTTAGCCAGCAGGAACAGACGCGCAGAACCTACATTGAAACCGGTGCTTTTGCCAAAGGCAAAGCTCGTAAAATTGTAGCGGAGATGGACAGCTCGAAGCCCTTTCTTTGCAGACTGGAGTTCATTGAAGCGTTGGCTGCACTGGCTGCGGTTTTCAACGAGGACATGGGACGCAAGGTAACTGGAGCCAATCAATTATCAATGCATCTCCCACATACTCTGGTGTGCTGCTGATCCTGATCGTGCTGAATGGTACTTCAACAACCAGCGGTTCAGGCACACGCTGAGTCACGGCCTTAGTTAGCAAGGTAACGTTGGCATGAGTATGTGTCCACCTTCGTACTAGTTCTAGTGCTGCGTCAACAGGTCGAAAAGCCTTGACGTTCCTTCCGGCCGGCACTTCATCCAATGAAGCCTTGCATGCCGAAATTAAGTCATGGTTCTTGCAAACTCAGCAGATTCATAAGAGCACTCTGCGCTTGAAGCTGCTGATATTGACATTGAGCAAAGCTCTGCCTCATGCGCTTGCATTGCAAGCATCAACCATCAGCCAAACGAACAGCAGACTTCTGCTCGCAAGGCTCACTGCTAAGTCAGTGTGGTCTCAAGAAGAATGGCAGCGGTGGTGCTCGTCATGCCTGGAATCTGAGAAGGTACAGAAGGCATGCTTATCGTTTACTCACGAACGTGCCGCAGAAGTGCGTAAAGTGCGCACGTGGGCTCTCAAGCGGCCCTCCGCGTCAAAAAGGCAGAAGCAGAAGCGGACCATTTTCACTGCAGCTCGAAGATCGAAGCTGCGCACACAAGGGGTCCGTAGGTGACGGTGACGCTGGCATCCTGAGTGCGCTCAGAGAAAGAAAGTTGTTCGTGTGACATGCTCGGTTGTTAGGGCATGCTGTGTCTGAGATTGAAAAGTTGTTTCCGGCATTTGATACTGCCATATCGGATTTTGTGCCGCCTTTGCTACGCATGCCGGTGTACGACGATCATCATCGGGAGGCGCATGTTGTCAGCATAGCAGTGTTGGTGGCCTTCTTGGGATCACAGCTTATTTGGAGGCTGGAATATGGCCGACGCAACAGCCCGGCCTGGGACTGTTGGCCGGGGTGGATGCAAGTTACATTGCCAGTTGTTGGGAGAGCCCAGATGTTAGCCGGGATCGTGATGCTGCCCAATGTCAACTGTGGCTGTTGAGGTGGCCATAAGGGAGGGCGACGTGATACGTATGTCGGCTCGCCGACAAATCAGCTTGCAGGGTGGGCCACATCAGACCTTCTGGGACTGTAGCCATCATCTCCTTTGACGGTTTGCCATTCCACAGCTTCTTGCAGGAATTTTATATGTGGTTTGTCAGCCATCAACCCTTTTGTGGGGTTTGTCACTTCATGCCTTCTTTTGAAGTCCTGATGATACCAATGCTTGTATCTGATCTACTGAGCATGATGTCGACGTATGTCGGCTCACCGACAAATCAGCTTGCAGGGTGGGCCACATCAGACCTTCTGGGACTGTAGCCATCATCTCCTTTGACGGTTTGCCATTCCACAGCCTCTTACAGGATGTTTATATGTGGTTTGTCAGCCATCAACCCTTTTGTGGGGTTTGTCACTTCATGCCTTCTTTTGAAGTCCTGATGATACCAATGCTTGTATCTGATCTACTGAGCATGATGTCGCAAAGAGGGTGCAAGCCGAGCTGTGTGAGCAGTTGGAGTTCAGGCTTCCGAGCATTGGAGTACAACCCAGGTGCATTCATGATGCAGGTAAGAGCACAGAGGGATGTGCATTGTATGTTACACCGGGCTGAGTGTTCACACTGTATAACCGACCGAATCAATCACATTATACGTAAAGGTTCCTGCCTCATATATATATATATATATATATATGTGCCCCCACCCCTCTCCCCCCCCCCACCCCCCTAAATACCAACAGACCCATGCATTTCGACCTGTTCGCAGCAGCTGCTGCTGCTACTGTGCCTGTTCCTGCATTTCGACCTGTTCGCAGCAGCTGCTGCTGCTACTGTGCCTGCTCCTACTACTGCCATTAAGATGGTAACCCCCCAGCTGGGAGCCCAAAACACTGTAAATACCTTGAGATTCTGCATCGATTCTTTTGCGCCTGCTGTTTATGCGTATCATGAACCAGTACTCAAACTTTGAAAACAAGTACTAGTTTCGTGGCTCTGTCTCTTGTCGTGGCATATGCTCCAACTACTACTACTTACTACTACTTACTGCTACGTATAACAACTACTTCTACTGCTATTACTACTACTATTCATAATAATACTACTAGTACTACTATTCAACTGCTACTGTTACTACGACTATTGCTGCTGCTACTACTATTGCTACTATTACAAATGCTCGTACTACGATTACTGTTTCTACTAAATCCAGATCTTCACCACAGTACTCTTGTTGGTTCATGGTATCAGATAAATTTCTACCACTTTTTCAAGTCTCATCAAGGTGGTTGTATCAAACCACCACAAGAGTCATAATACTGCTATTACTACTACTACTACTACTACTACTACTACTACTACTACTACTACTACTACTACTATAGTCAACTACTACGAGTAGTAACCAAACATGAACATTAATAACGTTCAGGCTCTAGCCTTGATCCTAGTTTACTACTACCGCCATGCCCTTATGCTAGTAGCAAAACTCCTGCTAAAATGCCTTAAGCCATTTTTCATTCTCTCATGAATCCAAAATATGTTCATTTCCAGTTATTTAGGTGGGACTTATGAAACAACATTAAGACACTCTTTCACTTACATCATTCTATTTCATTTACCCTGCAGATTTAGTGTACACTGCATCGGAAGCATCACATTTATCATCCTTTTGCATCAGGACTTGTGCAATAGGATAAACGTAAACATTAGACAGTCAATGAGACTAACAGCCAAAAACAAAATACATCTCTCTACCGTCTCTGAGAAAACAAACACAAACCGTGCTAGTGGTTGTAAGTGTTGTACAGTTTCACATGACCACCAGACCAAGTTTCACCTAAATGCCTACAATCTACAAAAGGAACACCAGACCAAGTTTCACCCACAAAAGGAATTTGAAACACAATGGATGTCATTGTTACTTTTGGTACATGTCATGGTTTGATCCCCCAGGTGAGCAAACGGCTTTCCCCAATGTACTGCTGCGATTCAAAGTTTCGGAGTGAGTCCATGAGCCAGAATTTTAAAATGAACCCAGCTTTCAGCGAGGCGGCAAGGCACAAGTCCTCGGTACGTTAGAACGCTAATAGGGCACAAGAAGACATTCTGCACCGCGCGGGTCAGTCAGCTCTTTCTCTTTGGAAGCCTCCCAAAGACTGCCTTTTTTGAAAGAGTACAGCACTTTAGCTATGTTCTTGCAAAAAGCGCTGTACGGACCCAAAGAAACCACGTTTTTGCCAACGTGCTGTACTGTCACAAAAAGCCAATCTTGCCCAGTCTTTCAGGCTAGCTACCCAGGCCTCCAAAAAGATTGGGATTTCAGTGACAGCGCAGAACCTTTTTGCAAGAAGTTAACAAAAAGGATTTTTGCTAAAGTGCTGTACGGTCCCAAACAAGTGCAAAAACAATCTTTGCAGGTTAGTGGGGCAAGGTGGCCACTGGTTTGTTTGACTTTTTGGGTGTCGCAGACATGCACATGCAGACTGACACAGGGGCCGTGAAGATAACAAAACCAAGACGGGCAGAGGACCACATTGAAATATTGAAACACATTGATTTTCAATATGGCGGATCCAAGATCCAAGATTGCACGATGGCACCGAACACGACCGTCTTGCGCACATTGAGCCGTACATCACATACGATGGCCCACAGAACAGTAAGCACATGTGCACGTCTGAAGATCGGAGCTGAGCCAGAAATCACATGCAGATCATCCGCATACCCGCCCTGTAGAGTGGTCGTGTCGGGCAGGCCAAGCTCCACGTCATCATGCGCGAAAGTCTGATCGCAAGGCCACGACGGATGCGAGGCAACCTGCAACTGCAACGCACGAGGAAGTCGGAGGCCAGAACGCTGAAGAACTTCCCAAACTGTCGTGATGCAGTTACAAAAGATCATGCTGATGGCACAGCCCTGGACAATGCCACGCAAGCCAGTAGCCGCAACAGGCCGTCCAAGATGTTGCAATGTCTTGAATCTTCGCTGTAAGCGCCGGTACTGATCAAACATTACCGCAGTAACTCGCGGGTCAAAGCCCAGACGCTTCAAAACCATCCAGCCAAAGCCATTGATGTTGTCTGCATGAAAAGGCATGGAATTAAAAGCTTTGCTAAGGTCGTAGGAAACCGCTGAAATGGATTGCTGTTGATGTCTCATGTGTTCCATCGTCACACTCGCAGTGAGCGTCAGATCATGAGTACGCTGACTTGGGCGATTGGCGCGCAGTGGAAGCTCACCAAGCACAGCCTCTTGCCATTGTAGCAGCCCCGCACGCAGCCGGGCACCTGCATACATTCTGTGCAAATAACTCAACACAGTGATAGGACGCAAAGTATCCACTTCAAAGCAATTGGCCTTCTTCGGAATCAAAGAGATATCCCCTTGGCAGTTAACGCTCAAAGTGGTCCCATGCTGCTCCATCAACATGAAAATGTCAATCAACTGCTGTAAAAGACTGTCCGGTAACTTACGCAGCTCAGTGTGGCGCCAGCCACAAGGGCCAGCGACACCTTTTGCCTTAGACAGATAACGACGCAAATCTGAAGGCTGCAGCGGCGGGAGCTCCACTTCAAAGCGTGGCAAAGGCAATGAAAGCAGAGCTGTCTGCAAACCCATATTGCATTCTGTAGTAGGCGTCCATACATCTGTCCAGAATTGCCGCACCTGTTGATCAACATGAAGCGTGTCACAGGAGCCATTCACATGTGTAGCTCGCTCTTGAAACGACTTGGTGACATATCGCGTGGCGTACTGCCGTCGCCGGTCACGGGCCCGGCGCGTGGCCTGCGCATGTGCCCTCGAATGCAAAAGAGCAGCCTGCTTGTCGAGCCACTGCGCATAAAAGCTCAAAGTCTCAACAGTCGGCAACCGGGTTTCAAGAAACAGATGGTCACCCATGCGCTTCTGAAGCCGTTGCAAATCGCGTCGAGCCGCCTCCCAGGTCGCATGTTTTTGCGGTCCGGGATGCGGCATTTTGCCCAAAGCACGTATCCGCCTCCTTGCATGCTCCAGACGATGGAGTGTGGCATCATGGCGTGGCACCATAAAGTGCTCCAGATCATGTCGACGGACCTGAGGCGTAGCAAAAGTCGGCAAGACCTTCTGCAGCCGGCCCCGCTGACGAAAACGATCATGCCAAGAGACTCCAGCAGCGCGGACCAAGTGTCGCTCACAGCGCTCAGACCAAAGCGTCCAAGTGCTCGGCTTTTTGCGAACTCGAATTTGATCTGCGAAGCGAATCTTTGTGCTGCAGCCACACGTCCTCACGAAAAGAAAGTTCAGCATGGGAAGCCTGGCAAACAACGTCCGGCAAAGGCAGTGGGCGAGGCAACTGTCTCCGGTGACGTGGCTGAGCAAAAGCATGCAGCCCCAGCTGAACATGTAAAGACTGGTGCGTGGCAAAGTCCCAGGTGGTTGCAAAATCCGCAAAGGACAGCAGCGCGACCTCATTCATCCATATCATATCAATGCGCCTTGCATGGGTAGTAGGCCCAATGGGTCGCCCGAAATGCTCGTGGGCAAACCGATGCGCATCAAAGAAAATTCCCATGTCCTCCCAGTGATTTCACTGTGGCAACTCGCTCGTCTCAGCATTGAAATCGCCAACAATAAAAGTGGGCATCTGGTCCCCAAGAGTTTGGGTCCATTCCGCTACCGCTTCCAGAATGGAGTTCGTGGCTGCAGCATCACCATAAACTCCATACACAACGAAAACATGCAAAAAGACGAGGCCAAGATCATTGGAAGTACGCTTGCCAGACTGGAGTGTGATCTTGTAAGTTTCAAGCCTGCACTTGTTTCTCCACTCGTCGACTTTGGGACCCCCGCCTGTGAGGCGTGTAGCGCGGCCTGTGCTCCAGGACCCAAAAACAAAGCAATGCCTCCACTTCGTGTCTCGCCAACTGGCTTGCCCCACAAAACTTGCACCGCCTTGCCTGGGCCATTCATCTCGTTGAGCGCATTTAGCTCCTGATCCATTCGGATTTGCGTCATGCGATCAGCTTTGGTCTCTGTCACAGCGTGAATTCCTGTCAAAGCCTGCATTGCGACACGTGGGAGCTTCGTGTGAACACCCGTAATATTGGAAACCGCCATAGAAAAAGGTAACTCGGAAGTGCCGTTGCAATGCGTAGTTCGCATAACTCTGTTGCGAATTCTTCTCGACATGCAAAAAGTGGGTCTGAAAACTAGACGTCTGTCCGCTGTCTCGCCGGTGGCGCGTTCGTGGCGCCATCGGACGGGTGCGAGCGCTTCGGGCTTGCCCCCGCTCGCTTCTTGTGCCAAGCAGCATTGTCGAAGTCGATCGCCATGGCTGTGTGCTGATCTTCTGCTTCGGGATCGGCAGTACGGTACTCCATCTTCGCAGCTTTGAAGGCTTCGCGAGCACGTCTGTTCATGGCCTTCACATGCATGATGGTGGTGGTCCCGCCAGCCTTGCGCAGTGCCATCTTGTTGGTGGACGGGCAGTTCGCAGCTGAGACAACGGCGTAGTTCTCGGCCAAGTAGAGGACCTCGTAAAGGTCCCACTTGAGAGCTGTGGACAACATCGTCTTCAACCCGCTGTGTCCAACATGCGGTGAGACTCCGGTGATCTTGTATCGTCCAAGCTTGACTTGATCCACCAGCCCACGTTCTTGTGCGAAGGCCTGCATCGCAGCTTCGTCCGCAAAGCGGATGCCGAAACGAGGCTCCGAACCACCTGTCTTCTTCACTGCCCCAAAACACTTCTCCTTCAAATTCTTGACGAAGTCCATCGTGACCTTGTAAGTGGTACCGTACGGCAGGTAGATGACCTCGAAGTTGCGCTCGGTCTCGTCGGCATGAAGTTTGCACCAAACGTGATGCATGCCACTCGCGCGTAGAACGTCGTCGACTCGACTCTTGGAAACAAGGGCTGTAGCCGTGCCGCCATTCTCCCTCACAATGATCTGACCATAGTCGGTGGGCGGCACATACAACTGGATGTAATCCGCAACGTTCCCGGCTCGAATGTGTTTCCAACCCTCCGTTGTGTCGAAAATGAAAGTCATCTTGGCCATGGTGATGCACTCGTCTACCACAGTCAAACCATCGGTTTCCATGGTCACCGGCTTGCCTTCGCCTAGCTGTGTCAACCATCTCTGGCTTTCCACGTGCACCACAGCGCCCTGTTCGCCGACCGTCTGGAGTGTGCACGTGACTTGTGTGGAGCTGTAACCCTTGAGGTGCAGCTCCCAAGCAGGTTGAGAGGTCAGCATAGCCACTGGTTGCATCGTGGTGCCCACGTTCGCCAACACCTGTGGCACCAAGGACTTGGGCACCAAAGCGATGCCACCCTGTCGAGACAGCTCTTCGGCGGCTCGCACTGTGCACGACCACTCCGATTGAACTAACTTTGTACGATTGTGATGCACAACATGTTGCGGAAGGCTTGCATGCACCAGCTCTCGAAATCGGCGGTCCTCCACATTGTCGGTGTATGACATGCCTGCTCCCTGCTGCATCTGCGTAAGGCTGACGGCATCGGTACCTGAGCCCACTGCGGCTGCCCCTCCTGAGTACTGAGCCCAAGGATCCGAAATCTGCATGGCGTCCGCTTCGGGAGGCTCCTGCTTGCCTCGGCCCTTGGCTTGGGAAGACATCGGAAGTTGCTTTCCAGACCCCTTGCCAGAACGAGAACCTCTACCATTGCCATTCATTGAGTGCATGAGTCTGTTGCGAATTCGTCCAACTAAAAAGGCACCAACTCCAACAGGAGTAAGAAATCGTGGCACGTAGCCATACACGCATACCACAAAGGTGTTCGAAGTTGAGCAAATGAGCGGCTGGGCCACTCTCACCTCAGCAACTGTAACTATGTCCCGCAGCAGCTCCGAGTACAGTTGCGTCGTAGGTGCTGCGGTCCAGTTGTTTACTGTAGGTGGGACTTATGAAACAACATTAAGACACTCTTTCGCTTACATCATTCTATTTCATTTACCCTGCAGATTTAGTGTACACTGCATCGGAAGCATCACATTTATCATCCTTTTGCATCAGGACTTGTGCAATCGGATAAACGTAAACATTAGACAGTCAATGAGACTAACAGCCAAAAACAAAATACATCTCTCTACCGTCTCTGAGAAAACAAACACAAACCGTGCTAGTGGTTGTAAGTGTTGTACAGTTTCACATGACCACCAGACCAAGTTTCACCTAAATGCCTACAATCTACAAAAGGAACACCAGACCAAGTTTCACCCACAAAAGGAATTTGAAACACAATGGATGTCATTGTTACTTTTGGTACATGTCATGGTTTGATCCCCCAGGTGAGCAAACGGCTTTCCCCAATGTACTGCTGCGATTCAAAGTTTCGGAGTGAGTCCATGAGCCAGAGTTTTAAAATGAACCCAGCTTTCAGCGAGGCGGCAAAGCACAAGTCCTCGGTACGTTAGAACGCTAATAGGGCACAAGAAGACATTCTGCACCGCGCGGGTCAGTCAGCTCTTTCTCTTTGGAAGCCTCCCAAAGACTGCCTTTTTTGAAAGAGTGCAGCACTTTAGCTATGTTCTTGCAAAAAGCGCTGTACGGAAAGAAACCACGTTTTTGCCAACGTGCTGTACTGTCACAAAAAGCCAATCTTGCCCAGTCTTTCAGGCTAGCTACCCAGGCCTCCAAAAAGATTGGGATTTCAGTGACAGCGCAGAACCTTTTTGCAAGAAGTTAACAAAAAGGATTTTTGCTAAAGTGCTGTACGGTCCCAAACAAGTCCAAAAACAATCTTTGCAGGTTAGTGGGGCAAGGTGGCCACTGGTTTGTTTGACTTTTTGGGTGTCGCAGACATGCACATGCAGACTGACGCAGGGGCCGTGAAGATAACAAAACCAAGAAGGGCAGAGGACCACATTGAAATATTGAAACACATTGATTTTCAATATGGCGGATCCAAGATCCAAGATTGCACGGGACTCCTGGAAGGAATCTTAGATTCAGGGAAAGCCATATTGAAATATTGAGGCCATATTGAATTTCAATATGGCGGATCCAAGATCCAAGATCTAAGATTGCACGGGACTCCTGGAAGGAATCTTGGATTCAGGCAGAGCCATATTGAAATATTGAGCCATATTGAGTATCAATACAGCAGATCAAAGATCCATGATCCAAGATTCCTCGCAAAGAGTCCCGTGCAATCTTGGATGTTGGATCTTGGATCCGTCATATTGATACTCAATGTGGTTCAATATTTCAATATGGGCCGGGCCCCGGGAAAGCCATATTGAAATATTGGGCCGCATTGGGTTTCAATATGGTCGGTTCGCGCGGTCATGAGGAGATGATCCGAGACATGTGAGTGGAAGGAGGGGTTTGTGCCGTCATGGGGAGACGATGGCGAGTGGAAGAATGGTCCTGAGGAGATGCTCGCGACGGGGAAAGAGGTGAAAACAGACACTTTGGGGGGGGGGGGGGGGGGTACCAAATATAATAAGGAACCCCCAAAATAGTACCAGTATTGGTAATTATTAAGGCGAGGATTTTCCGACTCTTGCCGGACCAGACTTCTGGAAATGCTGGTCGGTCCTGCGCATGCAGCGGCTGCCTGAGGACATCAGACGGCTTTCAAGAGGACTGTGCCTCGCTTGTACATTCTTTCAGCTTCTAGACTGTCTGCAGTGACCCCAGGTTCATCCGGCGGAGCGATGCGTGGGAGGGAAGGGTCAAAGTGCTTCCGTTTGCGACATCCTCCGAAAATTAACTAGATCCATGAACCAAGCCAGCACTGAGGCAGCGTGCTTCGTCACGAACGCCAAGAGATCAAACAAAGGACAAACCGAAAAGGTGAATATCTTCGCCCAGCGGCTGCGCTGTAGCAGAACACATCTGGGAGGACCAGCCTACAACAATGACGCCATGATAGTATGCAAGAACTACGCCGAAACAAGGCAGCATGAGTGCATTTGTTAGCTGAGGGCTCCGTGAGATCTTAGCCTGTCCCCTAAGGTTGCACGCAGAAATGCCACGAAGCAAACAGGCGCTTGGAATGCATCAGTGTTTGGCCAGAAATACAAGTCTCTGCACGCAGGTCAAAACAGTGTGCCGTCGCTCTGCCTCGAAGCCAAGTGGTCGAGAAGGGTAAACACCTGCTCCGCATTACGCTGATCAAGGACACTAGCGAAGGACGACGGACACAACAGGATGGGGAATGGTCCAAGGGGCTCTGGTGTCAAAACTTTTTTCAAGCCTGTGCCCACGGTGCGTTGCGCAGCACTGACGTGGCGGTGCGAAGGGCCTTTGCTGCACCTGTCTTGACGACACTGAACAAAGCAATGACTGAGAAAGGTTGGCGCTGTTAGCATCAGAGCACCCGAAGCACCTTCAGCATCCATGCCTGGTTGAGTCGTGGACGACACCGTGAGGAGAATCGCAGGTTTGTGCCTTGCTCGAGGGCTCCGTCGAGCTGCCGCAGCGGACCCCAGCCATCGGCTCTGGGGGCTCGAGCTCTGGCACCTTTGGCAACAGTGACAGATAGGTCATCATAGAATAGTGGATGGACGCAAACATCAGAACGATGATAGGGTTATCCGCATTAATGACAAGAGTAGAACCTTAGCACCCATAGTAACAAGTAACAATAGCAATGCAGCGGCGGGAACAGCAATAGCAGCAGCAGCAGTAGCAGCAGTAGCAGCAGCAGGAGTAGCAGTAGTAGTCGTCGTCGGCGTGGCGGTGGTGGTAGTAGTAGTAGTAGTAGTAGTGGTGGTAGTAGTAGTAGTAGTAGTACTAGTACTAGTACTAGTACTAGTACTAGTAGTACTAGTAGTAGTAGTAGTAGTAGTAGTAGTAGTAGTAGTAGTAGTAGTAGTAGTAGTAGTAGTAGTAGTAGTAGTAGTACCAGTACTAGTACTAGTACTAGTACTAGTACTAGTAGTAGTAGTAGTAGTAGTAGTAGGAGTAGGAGTAGTAGTAGTAGTAGTAGTAGTAGTAGTAGTAGTAGTAGTAGTAGTAGTAGTAGTAGTAGTAGTAGTAGTAGAGGAGTAGTATAGGCTGTAGCCATAGCAGTAGTAGCAGGAGCAGTAGAA